AGAAACCCTACACCTGATCTTACTGGGTCACCAACAGGCTTCAAAACAAAACAAGTGTAAAGTTTACAACTACTTTTACAGCTCTGATCACCAACAAGTACATGCCAATGACACACATGAACTAATTTTCACATAGGGTTGATTTGCCAGCTTCCCCCCAGAGCAGGTTTTCCACTAAGTTTTCCATCAGAAACGAGCCAGGACGGATTTAAGACCCTCTAGATCGCCGTCTGCAGCGATTAAAACCAGAGAGCGCAGGTTTGGAGAGGGTTTTTGGGGGAGGTTGTGCAAGAGGGGAATACAGAGTGAGCCGGTCACACAGCGGGCACAAAGGAGGCCACTGTGGGAGCGTCCAGCAGCGGGGCTTTAACTCACCGAGGCCTGCTCCGGCAGCCTTTGAACTGGTGCTCGCTGCGAGTTTCCCAGGAGTCTGTGGGGGTGGTGGGGGGGGTCGGATGTGCAAAGTGCATGTGCAGAAAGAGCTTTGTGTCATACGGGCAATTAGGTTATTAATCTACGTAGACGTTATAGTCTTTTTATGGAAACAGGTGCCATACGTTGCATAACAAATAAGTTCTGGTGCACAGAACAAAGGGAAGAAATTTCCTAAAAAAAAATAGTCTGCAAATATACATCAAACGCCTGAAAATCCACAATTTGTTGAAGGACTTCTGATGAATCTGCACAGATTCATTCATTAAATCTACTTGGGTGTTTTACAAAGCGGAGCGTAAACAAAAAGCGAAACTGTTCTGCAAAAGAGGACCTCCTGTCCAGACATGAAACCTAAAACAGGATGTGATGAGCAAACTGAGCRTTGTGGTGTTTCCCAAATGTAGTCTTTTTTTTTAATGATCTGTTATGATGCTTCATTATTTATTTGTGCTAAACTCTGAAAGCTCACGCTGACGACYTGAATGTCTTTCTTAGCACACCCAGGCTCCTTTGCACAAAACACCAGAGCACACATTTACAAGATAAATGCTTCAAATCTGGTATTTTCCAACCAAAGCGTTGTCAAGAAAAGTTCTGCATGATTAGCTGTTCTCACAGGAAACAAGTTAAAACTCTTAAGTTTGTGTGGCGTGAAGAGAAACAACACAAACAAAACGTGCAACTTTAGTCATGCCCAGATTACTGGAATCAAGAGGGGAAAAAAAACCATTAACCCAACTAGGTTTTAAAAGATTCAAGTAAAACAAAAAGGGTTTGGAAAACTAAAAACAGCAACAAGCATTTTAGAAAACGTGCAAAAAATATATAGTTTCATTATTGTCTAAATTGTGGTTGGGTCCATTAGCAGTGTTTGTTTCCTAATCTGCAGTTATTTTTTAACAGTTTTGTCTCACTATATGTTGCAATTTCCAGTTATATTTAGATATGTTGCTGTGTTTTTATAATTATTTTTAATTTCCCAATAATACATTTAGCCTTTTTGGGAGATTTAGCCTCATTTTCCACTTGGTGTTGCATTTTGGAGATGTTCAAATATTCACGTTTTTTTCAAAGTCAAATGATTTGCCTTTTTTWAATTATTCTAATCTGGAACATTCTCTGCAGTGTGCTTTGGGTTTTAATATGTTGGTTTTATTTTACCTGTCATAAGTGAACATGTTCCTGTGTTTTCTAAAATGCTATTTGTATAATATAWATTTAATTTCATCTTTATATATTCATTATGTTTTAGAGATGTTAAAATATTCACATATTTCCTAAGTGTCAATATTTCAATACTACAATGTATCATCGTAGCTTTCTGCCATGATACATCATGGTTTCTGTGTTTCTGTTTTTTTTAATCATCAGTTATAAGTTGTTGTGCTTTTTAAAATGATGCTCCATTTTCAGATTTTTTTTTCATTCTGTTGTTGCATTTTACAGATATGACTTAAAGGTGTTGCAGCAGCTGAAAATCAGGACTCTCCCTTAAAATATTACATATACTGGTTTTAAAATCCCAACAGAAAGAAATGTTAACGGTTTGGGGCTTTGTTTTCTTGCTAGAAAGCAAAAAAAAACTACAAGGAGATTTGTTACCAGCTGACATGTATCCAGTAGAGTTGGTGGTGAAAAGATTAAGGCCTTGACAGCTCRGGTGCACCTGCGGTGCTCGACAGATCAGAGATTGTACCTGACATTTYATCAAGGTGACACTCCGCTCTCCCTTACTTTCAAAGCAATTTATCAGCTCCAGCAGGAGAACCCAGTCAGTACCACTGGTTGCAGGGCCGGCCCAATAACCAATTTGGGGCCCCAGGCAAGATTTCAGGTGGCAGTGCAGTTTTCTAAATCTCACTGATAATTTACATACATTCAAATACCAAATTAAACAATTGCTCTTTGATATTTTTATGTTAGAAACCAGGTTGTCCAATTAAAATACTTAMCATAAATCATTTGAAACAGAATACCACAAGTCTACCTCATACCTTCCAACATGTGCTAACAGCAATGAGGAACACCTGTTGATGTTAACTAGCAGCTGTGGAGTGAAGCAGTTCTAGGGGGGGCGCAAGGTGTTACTACCTTTGATATTTTTGTAAAAAATATCTACTCAAAACAATACATTTTTCAGTAATTAGAAGTAGGGGTCAATGATTTCCTTCATTCTGGAAGATCGGTGGAAAAGATGGGCTTCTTATCTACCTCCACAAAAGGTCTGAAAATCAGCCACTGTCCCCTTTTTCTCTGCTGTGAGCACTACTTAATGTCCAGTAAAAACAAGTTTGTATTGTTTCAAGGGTATTGGTCACTGTTTTTCAATAAAATAAGACTGAAACTTTRCAGGTGTATTGTCATCTTATAACACCTGACAATGTCAGTTATATATATTTTAATAATCTGTATCGGCCAAAATCWGAMCTGGCAGGTCAGACTTTTTTAAGAACGCTGATGTGCACCCCTAATTTGAAGAGCATTTGACTAAGACCTTGGGSTGAATAAAACAAGATAAAATCAGTATTTTATGAAGGTAGAAGACTAAAAACCAGACTTGAACCTGAACTTTATCTGAGATCATAMCAAAAAATTCCATTATCCTTATTTTGTTTCCYGTTTACTCAGTGAGCACCAGTTGTTATGCTGCTTCCAGTGGTCCTGGAAAGTGGTGATTTCCATGTTCCCATTGGTAGATTTAAACTGGAACGCCTCCTCCAGTGGTAATATTCCACTGGTATAGTGGAATAAATGAAACTGCTCCCAGTTTTGATTTCAAGATGGCAGCTACTCACAGCTTTAGAAAGTTAACTCCGTAACTTTTACTGTTAATTATCTTTCTTAATTTTTTGTGCATGTGTAATCACTTGCACATGTAGTGTGTTTTCTGTGCAATACTGTACGTGTTAAAATCAATTTTTATTTGCATGATATAGATCTCTCTTTTTGTCATTGTTTATATTGTAGCAGTGTTGTAGCTAGGTTAGCAGCAACAGTACAATCACCTGTCGGCTGACTGGAATGCAGTTTTATATGGTTTGTTGGGAAATTATGTCACTGCCAGTTACCAGTTCCTGGACTGCATCATATACTTTTATTACAAAACATCTTCTGCAGCACATATGTAGTATAGGGCTGCCACGACTAATCGATTATTAAAATAATCGATGACTGGCAGCCCTAATGTAATAACAGGCTGAGAAACCCACAGAACAAGTTTCCTTAATAAAACCTTGAGTAATCAGTGATTATTCTACAGACTAAATCAACTACACTCTGATAAAAAAAAAATTACAAAATATTCACGTTTGTCCCCTATTTGTGGTACCCCCTGGATGGACGGAGTCCTTAGC